TTCAGCAAAATCTATCCTTCCGCTTTTAACTTGTTTGTAAATTTTGAAAGGACCTTTCTTGAAAAAGTTACCTGTCTGTCTGAGCATGTGTGGCTTTTTATTTGTGCTCATAAAACCTTATGTGTAAAGATCAGTGAACCCATTGGCTCACACAGCTTAGCAGAAAACCTTATAGCAAAACTTAAAACAACTTTTATTTGCTTAGGAAAAACCTTTGTGATCCTAAATGCATCTAATAAAATGAGTAGTTTTCAGTATTGAGTATTGACCCTAACCTTCCCAAATCCTCCAAAATCCTCTTTGCCAAATGAAGGATTTTGCAGGATTGAGACTAGGCTACATGGCAAAAGTGTGTTGCTGATTTTGGAGGATGCACTGTGTCTAGGTCTTGGGCTGGACCTTGTGTTGTTTAAGCTCATGTTGTGCATGAAATCCTCCACACTGCTGCAGGACGGTCACTGGCTAGAAGTTTGCAGGATTGAGGCAGTGGTCACTCCTCCAAGGACCACATTCAAGAAATAACAGAGGATTTTGGAGGATTGAGGCTGTATGCAATGTTTACATGGAGGCAGTTTGAGGCTTTTGCAGGATTGAGGTTACATCCTAGCAAAAAAGCCTAGGGAGAACCATTTCCTAAAGCACTTGAACATGATAAAAGCACTGCGCTGAAACACATCAGAAGACTTGCTATAGACAATATCATGTTTTTGGTTCCTTGGGTCTCCGTGTCCAAAAATTCAACAATCTTCCTAACAAAATAAACCGTAATTATCCTATAAGTACTCGCATGGCGGGTACATCTGGACACCCCTGTGATGTTCCCGCAAAGTTTGTTTCAATTTCAATGCCAGTTCCAGACCTCACGCAGATCATCTCAGGAATGCTCTTTAAGAAAACAAACTCTGTTTTGCCTCAACCAGCGTGTGGGAGTGGGGACTTGGAGTTAAGTGTACACACCTAAAATGCAAACGTGGCACAAAAATCACCTATTTCAGAAATCAGGTCATTTTATTTCTGCTAAACTGTTTTGACAACCACTTGTTTCATGCTGTGTACCAACTCAAAACTTTACTTCAAAATCTTTACATCTGTTTGAGACCACTTTTTTTTACTGCATGCCTTCATAATCTTGGAGGAATTTTCCAGAAATGTGACTGAAGATTTGAGAAATTTGTCTTGCGAGTTTTGTGTTCTCAGGGACTGTTTTTGCTAAATGCTTTCACGACATTGTAAGTCAGAGAATTTTTGGTTTAGAGACAACATTAAGCCTGATATTCTTCAATTAAAAGATGGGTACGTGTATGTGACTCACCACTCATATCTTACAATTCTGATTCATAGATGATCTGAAAAGATCCACCAGCTTAATGTCAGACTTAGCCCATGAAGTTTCTTAATACTTAAATGTGGGAAAGTAATATTGTTTAGTATGACTCGAGACGCTACTCTGAAGCTGTTTTAGACACATCATGATCATAGTGTTTAAATTTATGAGAAAGAGAAAGCGTGGGATTCGTAACTGATGCTCTGGTCATTTTTCATTTTCTGTCAAAGTTCTTCTGTCAGTGTTTTGAGTTTTGGCAACCATCTGTCAACTTTTTCTGGCTATGCCGCGGGCAAAAGCTTTATTCATTGTTCTTGTTCCGCATCCGCTACCGGTGCAAGGGATGATGGGACACCAACTGCGTTGTCATGTCCCCCATCGAGCTGTCCCTCTAAAACCTTGATCTTTGAAAGTCGCCTTCCCTGGGAACCAATTTGCCCAGTTACAAAATTTATCGAAGTAAATGAGAGCCTATTAAGCCTACATTTGGGCTGGCACCACAGCCTTGACTCTTTGAAGAACACTTCTTGAAAATGTCCTGATCTAGTTTTTTTCCTCTGCCCGCAAAACCGCCTGAACTGCTTTCCAGCAGTGAGATGTGTTTAGAAAGATCAACAGCCACAGGTTGTCCAGTTTCTGGTACGTCAAATGTCTGATGGGAGAACATTCACATGATTTCAGCAGGTGTATCAGCAGGTGAAGAGGCTAATTGGCGTGTCAGTCCTGATCCATGGGAACATATCTGCCGTAATCTTTCGGCTCAAGTCCGCTCAACCTCTGAAAACTGTCATATTCTGAACACATGTTATCTCAGATGTGTAGGACATCAAGAAAACTTGTGCCCATTTCAGACTGGGGTTCCCGAGTCATGCTGAACAAATAAACATTTTGTTTTCAAGCAGGCGAACTTTTTATGTATTAATTTTCCACTGACTTGCTTCTGGAGTTTTTCCAAGCAACTGCAACAGCCGATGTACTCCCTCCTAACTTTTTCAACATTGGGTTTGGCGCACAAAACTCCCATTTTGCTGGTCTGAACGGATGTGATTGCTCTTAGTAGCCTGGGATCACTTGAGGGATTTCAGGATATGATCTCTGTGTGGAGTGCTGTGGCCCCGTGGTTAAGGGCATTGGATTTGTGGTCTGCAGGTAAAGCTGCAGGTTGTGGGTTCAAGTCCAGCCTAGGGTTATGGGGGGAGGGGGGCTGGGTTGGACTCACTTTGTCAATGGGAGCAGCCTTCAAGTGGACAATAGGTGGTGTTGTCCAAAGCGGCACAATTAAGGACGTTTGTCGACGTTAAAAATGGTCACTCCTGAAAGACAGGTTGCTCGTGAAAAAGGACTGACAAATTTCCAGTGGTGGAGCAACAATTCTTTGATGAGGTTGGCGTACACTCTCCCCCCCCCCCCTACTTGGCTACGCCGCTGATCTAAAGGCCTGTTGACCCTGTGAAGATGCTGATTTTGAAGAACGCAAGCAGTACAAGGCACATCAAAGAACTAATCATTTGTGTGTGACATGAAACATTTTATTGTGGAGTGTATTCTAATTCACTAATCCCAAGATACATTGCTTAGGGAGCATACAGCAAAAGATTGGACCAATAGACAAGCATACATGTAAGCTTGAAATCATTAACCAATAAGAGAACACAAACAGCACATATTCACACCAAACATTACTGCAAATGACAATCAAGTCAGTGTGTCAATCACTGTTGCTTTTTTTTAAGCACTAAATTTAAATAGTGATCATGCAGATGTATACGTACAATTGTTTAAAAACAATGAAGAGTGCAAAATCTGTTTTTACTATTTACAAATTTTGTTTTGTCTATTTACAATAAACTTTTAATATTTGTGTTCTTTATCGGCAGAGGTCATTTTAATACTGGATTGATTTAAGGATATATTTGGCATTCAGCTATTACATCACAGCAACAAAATTACAATTGGATATTTTCAAACTCACTGAAAACCATTGCAAAAAGTCACATCTCTGGCATATTGTACAGGGTTGAATTCTCAATGGTATAAACAATTTTATGGATATATGTCTCAATATGAGAAATCATCTCAGGTTGGCCATCAATTAAGAAAACTGTGTTTCTTTCCTTGATTTCGGTGGGTTTAATTTTCTGCGTGCTGCAAGCTGTCCTGATATAAATTAAAACCAAAAATACATTTATTTTATAAAAATTCTGATCAGAGGTAGCCGTGCGGGGAAAAAGTGAAATAAACAGGTGGAAAGACAAGATAATTGGCCTGTGGAGAGGTAGATTGAGAGAGAAATGAAGGAAAAAATGGAAGAGAGAGAGGTAGAATTAGATGACACATGAAAAAGAGAAGATGGAAATAAGGAACCATCAAAGAAATGGACAACGAGACCTAGAAGATGTTTTGCTTTACATTCCTCATTTTCATCAGATTGGCTAAGTTGACTTATTACTAACTCATATTATAGCTATTTTGCCTTTAAAACCATAGTTCATTTTGTATGGCATATAAGTATTAAGCACAACCAAGGAGACAAGAGCTAAGCATGAAAAATTGCCTTAAAATATCGAGACAAAAACAGGATATTCTTTCACATTGGCTACTTTCAGCAGTGAGAGATGCTTAAGGTTTGAGCATGAATTATTTTCTGATATAATGAGAAACGTTTTGTTAACCATTGGACCAAAAGCTTCATAGATGAATGTAGGAAAAGCCTGATTCGCATTTTGTAAAACTTTTGCTTTCTTTGCAGCTGCATTCACTTACATTTGACCTGTAAGCAGGGACTCATAAGACTTTCCCGTAAAATGAGGAACGATTAAATTAGATATGGCTGGGAGACGGGAAAAATGCAACTTAGGGTAACAGGATGAAATGCTGCGTCAAAGCTTGCACGGAGGCAAGAGGAGGGAGTAGCCGAGGCCCGCGACATCCTTTCCACTTTTCCTCCCAGATGTCCAAAGAATTTCCACCTCACAGTGTTAACAATGGATATGGGGAAAAGGAAGAATTTAGTCAGAATAAATATAAGGATAAGATCAAAAGCACAGGAAGTTGAGGGATTTGTAGCTAGGGAAGCAGTCGTCTTGTCTGTGAAAACAGGATGAAAATAAAACCTAAATAGATCCAAGGATATACCAACTGAGTATGTCAAGCTGTGTGGAGTATGGAGTGACGGTGAGATTAGGAGTTGAAGAAATAATTACTGAGATTTGTTGTAATTTTATTTGGGTGTTTTTTACCAATGGTAAAATAGCCGAAGGTAGCAAAGTGAAAGGTTGAGTTGATGAATAGGGGAGTTAGTAAAAACAGGGAACAGGACTGAGAAAATAGTAAATACAGAGTGCGCCAAAAACAGTGCAACATTCAGAAAACAAATAATTGAAACTGTTAAATGTTTTTTTATTTAATGTAATCATTAATTACATTAAAGCCCGACTATTTCTCAATCTACTCCTTTATACCTCATACATTTTACTTGGGCCACTCTCACCTGTGATGTCACCAACTTAAATGCATATTCAATGCTTAACCCAGATTCAGCATGTCCAGGTGAAAGTGGCCGGCCCGAGTAACATTTACACCCTTTCACCTAATTGATTGTATTTCTGGATCTATGGACTCAAATGGAATGGGGTAAAACGGAATGGATTCAGAAATAGTCAGGCTTTAATGTAATATATAACTTTGTTGAAAAAAAGAAATTAACAGTTTTAATTATTTGTTTTCTGAATGTTGCACTTTTTGGACACACTATGTAGTAGTTAAACCCTTGGAGTTTAAAATGCAAAATGTCCAAACTAATAAATACACACTTATAAGTACCTTATTTGTATGTTATACTATTTTGTGCAATACCATACCATATAACCATACAAAGTACTCTGGCACTATTGGGAATATTTCCTGCATTAAATATCAATACAGTAAACAAAAATGTTAAGTTAATCAAGAAAAGTGCATTAGAAAAATTTGACCTCTTTAGCCAGCTGTCAATTTGACTCAGCATTGAAATGTCTCTTGCAGGTAAATATATATGAACTTACATTTCACTATATTTTAAGCCTGTAGACTTTGTTCAAATTATTTACAAAGAAGGCGAGCTGTTTTTACCATGACTTCATCTTTGGATTGTTTTTGTTTGCAAAGTCATCTTGGGTTCGTGGGTTTTCAGTGAGCAGTAACGTACAAGTTGTTGGCAAGATACTCAAATTGAATGTGGAGGAGAAATCCGGAGAGATAAAAATGTGATTCGCTGAAGTCGCTGTCCTCAACCATGCTCAGCCAGACTTGGTCGCTCTTCTGCAGCTCAATCACGATACTGGAGAAGCGTTTGGCAACCACCATGGTCTGGCCGTTCTTCACCAGCTGCAGCTTGCCCTTAAAGTCCGTGGTAAAGTGGAAGACGTAGGTGCCTGGGATCGGAGAGATGAATTTCACTCTGCCGATGTCAAAGTATCGTCCGATGTTTGTGATGATGTCATCGAAGGGGATGATCTCATCTCGGCCGTGGTTCAAGTCGCCGCTGGATATGAAGGCATGAACCATGAAGGCACACTGCATGAGCTCCGGAGCTGGCAGGCCTGGTTCCCCCTTATACCCCCTGTAACCGGGTACCCCTTTAGGCCCTTGTTTACCCACGCCTTGGGGCCCCTGAGGACCCTGTAAACCCAGCAAACCTCTGTCGCCTCGCCTTCCCTTGGTCCCAGTGATTCCTCTTTCACCGGGCTCACCACGCTGTCCTTTCGAACCCTTATTCCCTTGTACCCCTTGCACACCCTTAGGACCCGTCGGCCCCTGGTCACCTTTCTCACCCGTGTCCCCAAGGTCACCTCTTTCCCCCTTTTCACCCAAATCTCCTTTCAGGCCTGTATTTCCGGGCAAACCTCTTGGTCCCAGTTTTCCGAAGAAGCCTTTAGCTCCTCTGGAACCATTGTTGCCTTTTGGTCCCATCTCCCCCACCAGTCCCGGTTCCCCCTTATACCCAATATCCCCTTGGTCACCTCGTGGCCCCCTCTTGCCAGGTTTACCGTCTTCGCCGTGTGACCCCGGGGCACCCGGGGTGCCCGGTATCCCCGCCGGTCCCGAGCAACATGCATCGCAGAAAGTTTTATCAGTGATCAAGGATGCCGACCCAGCATCGTTAAGCGATGCCAAGAACAGAACACCAAGTCCAACGAGGATCGCTTTCCACATTCCCATCCTTGCTCCTTCAAGTCCTTCCAAATGTCACTCCTCCTTTCTGATTGGCTCGTTGAAGGTATCCTAGCCTTGGGATTGGTCAGTTTATGCCATCCGTAGTTGCCGAAGCATTCAAAGTGTGTTTGATCCTGTGACAGAACAATGGAAACAGACACAGTGAGTTGATTGGTTTGAATTTTCTTACGAGAGAAAATTACTGAGGACTTGTGGGTAACCATCAAATTCAAATCTGGCCCAAACGTTTTTTTTTCATTCAAAATCTTGATTATCAGAGTTTTTGAGTCTATCAACATCTTGTCTGTTTCCATTGCTATTTGCAGGGTCACCCACATTCCACATGGCATATTATATTATCTGAAAACATGAGGACACCATTATTTGCACGGTTATACAAATTCACTAATTGTTAATCACTATTCCTAAATAACGAAGATGTTTTCCCTCATTTGTGATGACTGTCCAGACTACTCAGATGTTTAAATTATATTCAATTGATTGTCAAATTGAAAATAGTTTTGAAATATTCAGAAATTAGGAGCCAGTTACAACAAAGAGTGAAGACAGACTTTTTGATATCAGATTGTTTGTGTATTTGTATTTAATGAAAACTTGGTGTGTTTTTTTTTTTTTTTTAATTACTTGGGAACAGCAATACAAAAGTGAAAGCTACTAAAATGTTCATTGTTGGAATAGTTATATTGTGTGTTTGGATACTGTCATTTCATTGGTCTAGGATGGCCACGTGTCTGGACAATAAAAATCCATGTCACACACTCAGGGTGATATCGCACTGCGTTCATTGCACGCGTTGCGCGTGCGTGTAGAACCTGCCAGTGCGCTAGCTTAATTGCGCTCAGTCTCACGTCCGGTAGGACATCAAACCTTCGGTTATCAAAGGTTACATTGCAGTGATTTAATTTATTTCTCACACAGTAAGTTACAACCATTTATTTTTTTGTGAGTTATTGGCATGATATAACGAAACAATTCTTGACTGCTGTGATGTTGACTGCTGTGTTTAACCCCCTCGGGCGTATAGCACCCTCTGCTTTGCCTCAGGTACTATGCGCCCCTTGGGTGTTAAAAAAGTCACAGCACAGCAGTCAACAATTGTTGTTGAAAGTGTATATCATGCACAGTCATAACTGCTATTGTTATATTACACTGTTAATAAAAACAATCTTCCAGTAAGTTCAAATACTGGTATCAACATACAATGTATGTAAATGTAATAGTCCAACCGACTTGGCCCTTTAAATATTGGTCACATATTTTACTTCTTTTTCTTGGACACGGACATGCAAAGTGAAAATAGTACATTTGTTCTGAAATCTTAACCATCCTGATGGGTTACAGACAACCAGTAAAAGTGCTGAAAAACATCCCCTGAAATATCTCACAGCCAGCTGCAAAGAGTTAACTCCTTCCTGGTACTGCGTGTATGTCATCAAGCCTCACCTGGTGTCCAAGAAAAAACCTCTGTCTTTACCAGTACCTACCTAGCCTCAAACCCATAGTGCAAAAGCCAAACATGTTCAGGGGGTTGTTATGGGCGATTTCATGAATCATAAAGTCTGTCAGTCGACAGGTGGAATGGTTCGTAGCGGGTGAGATCGTGGCGCGGCAGTGGTGTGTGAGCTTTCAACTTCAAAATGCTTCAAATTTTTTTACATGAAATTGACAGTGACATGTTTATTTGAACCATTGCACTGTTAAAGGTGGCATTCAGTGTTATTAATACTGTGATGTGAAACGTCCTCCTAAACATTTGAAATTTACGGCCGCCTAAACATTTAATGTTTCGGTTTTGGATGTAAAAGAAAATAACGGCTTGCTTTCATTGAAAACAGATCATTTATCAAACACTTGTATTCTACAATCTTTTTTTAATTTCAGAAAGGTGAATTTTTCTTTAATTATGTATTATTTTCATTAACAATTGTAGCAATTACATTTTTTTTAAGTTGGTGGCTTCCACAGTTGTAGAATAACAACTTTTAAACATTTTAGCAATAATCTACAAAAATTAACCATCTTGAACTCAGTTGTTCACAATTTCAACCTAGTTTGTGCTAACCTTGATTCAAAATTTTATAAATTGATGTAATACGGTCAAACAGAGTGGTGTTCAAGCCTTAAAATAAATTGTCATTGATGCTACCTTTACTGCAGTTTATGTCTTGAAAGACTTTAGTCTAAAAGCCACGTAGAGGAAAACTAACTTTGAAGGTGGTTTTAAAATAGGATGCAAGCGGAAAGCACACTTAGGCTACTTCTGTTTCACGCAATCCAGTTACGAGACCCAAAAAGTGTGCATACGTTTTCTGTGTTTCTCAAAATGTATGGTATCTGCTGAGCTGAAACTTCAAAAGATAGGGTTGTTACGCATCTACTTAACTATTTTAGCGATTCTGTTGCTTCAAACGAAGAAAAAAATTAATGCACAAGAAGCAAATGTAGGGTTACTTTAACATAGAAACATTTTATTATTATTTTTTGGTGTGAAAGAGGAAGGGGAACTAGGAAAAAAAGTAGTAAAACTGGTGGTTGGATTGAAATCCGGATTTGTTGATATTCGGTTTGAATTCCACTTTCCGTTTCAGATTTTGGACACCATATATCCAAAACCAACCTTAACAAAATTTAGCCTTCTATTTTTGGTGACAAGGGTTAAAGAAAACAACTGGAACATCCCCAATTTGCTCTAGGGTCTTTGATTGTAACTGCATTCACTTACTAGTGGTTTCTTGGTTCATAAATAACCTGCCCATTCTTATCAGAGAGTTCCCATCCATTTTTTTTTCAACATTTGTTACAGCTCTGGAGTGTTTTTGTGCAGGCCCAGTGGTCATTGAATCCTGCAAACTGTACCCAGTCATTGGGAGGACATTTCTTGTTGCACCTCACCCGTCACTTTTGTTTGCATGACTGTGAGCTGGATGGGAACTTCCATTATTCTGTTTGAAAAAAAAATTAGGATAACTGGATTTGAAATCTCCAATTTCTCCCACCAATAAATAAAAGCTCATTCAGCAAGTTAGCAGGCAAAGCGCTTAGAATTGGAATTGAATGAACTTGACAACATATAAGATTGCATTGTGGTTAGTTTGAAGTATTTGATTATCCCCAATAAATGCCATAGAATGTAGGGGATTGCGGTCTGACCTTCACATGTGAAACCACTACAAATATTTATCATGTAGCTGATGTTCCAGATGTGTTGGAGTGAGACTGTATGAACTATGCTCTTCTGCAAACAAATACTGGACATCCCTTCGACTTTCGTTATTAACTGTCCAGACATTATTTATTTACTTTGGGATTGTTTTGTTGAGAGTTTTTGTTTTGCCAGGGTTTGGTGTGTCAGACTTACACGCAGAAAATATACTATTTGTTGAAAGAGTGATTGGTCTTTGAGTTACGGTTGTAAATTCTGACACATTCCTGTTTTGCGTTTAGACCCTACATGTTTATGTGATGCGATCAAGCTACATGAGTCGTTTGTCGACCCTGGTCAAAAAATTTTTTTATTACAGATTTCAAAAGAGCACAATCTCAGCATTACTGCAGTGAAAACCGCATGCTGATACCATCTTTAGTTCAAAAATTATGGAAGGCCAAACACCAAGAGATGTGATGAAGTGATGTGATGAAGTGGCCCTATTTTGGCCTGTATCTCCACAAAAATTCCCGACAAACGACTCGTATAGCTTGATCGCATCACAAATGTTGTCTGAATATAAATATTCCAATTTCCTGAATAAAGTGGGTATTTTGACCCGAGTGAAACAGCGTCACTAGGCATGGAAATTTGAATTGACTTTCTGTTGAGAAAGCAAAGTACCGGTATCTGGGTATTTAGATGTTTGGACACCAATGTCTTTGCTTTTGTCAGTAAAAGTTTGAGGGGGCATATCGCTGTCATATAGATTTATGCCACATGGACATATTGAAACAACTTGTTTAATTCACTTTAATGTGTTACACACCTGTAGAAGATTGCAAAGTGCAATTGTCAAACCAAACTCTCCAACCAGGCAATGCAAGATTTTTTTTTTTTTTTTTTAACTATAAACCAATCCAAAAACACTGCTTGCAGAGAGCAAAAATGAAATTATTGCTGTACCTGCTACAAAAAAAGGAGATAAATTAATCTTATTTCAATAAAAATAAAATAGGACAAAATAAATCACGCTTACCTGTTAAGTTGTTTGTGTAATTTCTGTCAACTTTTGCTGAGAGATACTTGGATCGAGTGTCTTTCCTGTCACAAATCTTTTACTGTTTTTTTTTCACTAATTACATTGTTCTTGATTTCTGGAAGTTTGAGTCAGTTCGGTTGTTTCAATTGGTTATGTAGCAGTAGCAATACAATTCCAGTCCTCAGTTTTGAAGTTTTTTGGTCCTATGCAAAACTTTAACTCTTTAGAGAAAGTGCATGGAGTCAAAAGATAAAAAGAAGGTGTTCCACGTTTTAGCAAAGATGAAGATGATGTGAAGTTTAAATCAGTTGACTACGTCACAGATTCAGCACATTAATTGGATCATCATGGTAAAACCATCTTCATCATGTCTTCAGCAATGTGGGCTGTTGCTTGAAGGGTTAGGCAGCAATGTTCAAAGAGTTGATCACCAAGATGTTTCAGTCGACCGAGGAGACAAGTTCATTGGTATCTGGTGTCAACATCAGCTACTGATGCTCCGGAGATGTTCAACAACTCACACTATCTCTGGTCAGATGATGGTTGCGTGTGGTCGTGAAGAACAAAGTCAGGAAATAGTTACACGATGATTCCAAAAAGTCTGCCAGTAACTTGCAGCACGTGAACGGCCTGCCAAGGTTGGAGACAGAGAGACAGCATTCAAATAGCTGTCACTGCTAACTGTGAGCTTGTCAGGCACACTCTGACATTCCACCGTGGATGATTGGGGCCCATATATCTGATGGAGGCGCTACACACACGTACACATCAAGGTCTTTGGTCCTTGGCAAGCATTTTAAACAAGGGTACCGGTGATGTCAGAGACTGACTGTTGTTACAGACTGCGGTCTGCTTGTGGTTGACAGATCAAGTGCAATGTTAATTGCCTCAAGTTGAAGGCTGACATTCATGAGCACAGGTACTTTAACATGTGCACGTCCCTGGCTGACATACAGTTGTTTGCTTCCTTCATAACACACTAGGGAGGTTGAAGTAACTTGGCTTGACTTTGGGGAATTAGGAAACAAACTATATTGTCCTCATTCAACATTGAAGTAATACATCAGTCGGTGGTTAAGTCAGTGTAAAGTTTGCTTTTAAACTTCCATCTTTTTTACAGTGCTAATCAGGGAAATTTTTTTCTTCATGTTAAAGGTTTTTTTCAAACCCTTGTTCTTTCTGTTGCCAAGGTAACACAGTGATTTCTGCCAAATATTTTTTGCCAGGTATTCATGGGGGGGGGGGGGACACGTGATTGTAAGTTGAACTTTGAAGGTTAACTAAATAAACTTTTGGTTGTACTGTTTAAACTGTTTGCGTGTGAGGTACATGCAGTCTGGGTTTCCCCACATTATGCAGGTGATGGGCGGGGACAATGAGAGGGGGGGGGAAGTATTTCATAATATTTTTTTGTGTAAAAGGTTATTATTCTGTTTAATTGCTGATCGACTAACAGTGGACCCTTTACATGTAGAGGAAGAATCTTTACGATATTTTTGTTTGATATATTTTCTCTGTCATTCATCTTTGCTTGACACACATGAAAAGGAAACGTGCAAGTTTGGTTGGTCGTGATGTTTGAAGCTTTTCAACTTGTTTCAAGTTTTCAAGCTGTGTGTTTAAAGTGATTTGTGAGTAGCCTTGGATACAAGACTGCATGGGCGTCACGAGGGGGGGGGGGCAAGGGGGGGGGGGGCGCTTGCCTTCCCCTGGACAAGCACACAAAAAAAGGGGGTAAGAAAAGGGGGAAAAAGAAACAAAGCGCAAAATTATATTGTTGTTAATTTAATGGGGAGGGGGCGCAAATGTCCCTGCCCAGCCTCCAAAAATGATCAATCGGGAAAACGCTGGAAAATATTGGGATTTGGGGGAAAAATGGGCTTTGCCCCCCTCTAGAAAAAAATCCTGGCGATGTCCATGTACAAGAGACAGATATCACTGCAATTTACCACCATTACAATGTAGGGGAAACTTCAGGTCAACCGATTTGTTTTTGGGGGGGGGGGATTCAGCAAAAGTGATTAATAACACGAAAATATAAATTGATTTTTCCAAAATTAAAATGATTTATAGTATCCTGTATTGCATAAGTCTGAGACACATAGCCTTGTCAATGCAAAGTATGCAGGGTTTCCCAGAAATCTCAAGTATGTGCAAGTAGTAATCCAGATCAGCTTTGCCTTGACTTGGGCCAAGTGAACAAATAAACCAGTTTCTAGTCCATGCCTGCTTCCTTTTCTTCCCGGCCTCCTCCTTTTTTGGAACCGTTTTTTTTATTTCATACTTTTGCAATATAATTTGCACATAAATTGTCAATATGTTGTTTTTAATTTTTTTTCCAACAAAATTGTAGCTATGTAACTAGGGTTTTTGCTCCTTTGGACGCTATTGTTTATCAGCAAAATAGTCGAGAAAATTGAAGAATCCATTCACCATCTTTGAAAATCCACCATCTTGGGAGAAAAAAAAAGAAGGGAAAAAATGCCCACCTCCCTCATTTAAAAAACAAAAGGCCAGACGAGAAATTTTTCTCAGCCTTAATTGACTCACCACCTGCTTATAAGGTACTGAACATGGACTACGTGATAACTTGTACATTACCTCTAACCGTAACTGAAACGCTGCATCCAGCAATTGCACAACATTGACAAGAAAAAAGGTCTCATGAACTCAGGTAGGAGTTAGAAGGTGGCTTTACTTAACACGCATAGCATTCCAAGGTGTTTTTATGTTATGCACTGCAGTACTTTTATTCTATTATTAAAAAATTCCTGTACTATTAAGTGTTTTTTTTCTTGATTCCTGATAAATTCTTTGATCTATGTGGAGTTTTGGTGTGGGATGTGTACATACAAAAAAAAAATCAAATTTTTTGTTTTGCTTTGTTTGGTTGTTTTGTTGGTTGCTTTTTTGTTTCTCTTTATCTTAGAGAAAAATGTTGCTAGTGTCACAAAGTGCTTTACTTTACTTAAACCTAAATATTTTACTTGGCAAGTAAAAATATGTTTGTTTTTTTTAGTTTGTTTTTTAAATTCTGTCACTGTGTAGTTAAGGCTAAGACAGGTAGTTGGAAGTGACTACGGCTGCTTCCATAGGTGCATGTGTTATTGTAAGCCATATCCAAGTAACGACTAGCTCTACATGTTGGCACAAGTTGGTCATTTCATCAAAGCAGTATGTCTTCATCCACTTGAACACTCAACCTGTATGCTTCAGTGCCAATCAATTAGCAGTCAAATCTTGTTGCCAGTGTAAACAAAAATGTACCCAATTTACGTGACATTGCCTATGTGGCCCCTGGGCCTAACAAGGTTCACCTGCTGTGTGCCAGTCGTGTTATTGAGCTTGAAGCCCGTTAAGTATAATTGTCCTGGACCCATGCTTGGGAGAAACATGTTTGTCCGTTACTGGATTTCAAAGTTTGCCTGAAGCTTTCCGGTGCCCATTTCACAGGAGGGTGGTTGGGCTTACATACTATTTATGCATTATCACTATTTTTTATATTTAAGAGTGGGGGAAAAAAAAGCCTAGAGCGGGGTTTGAACCTACGACCTCTGAGGTACCTGTTCGAGGGTCTCACCAACGGGGCCGTATCATAAGTCCAACACCTCATAGGTCCGACGCATCATAAGTCCGAAATTTCAGACTTGTGAGGCGTCGGACTTTTAAGGTGTAAATTCCGCCTCATAGGTCCGATGCCTAATAAGTCTGATGGCTTATAAGTCCGACGATGGACAAACGCTGTTTTGGACTTATGAGGCGCCGGAGCTATGAGGTGTCTCACTTATGCAGTGTCGGACCTACAAGGCGGAATTTATGCCTCATAAGGCCGACGCCTCATAAGTCCAACGCCTCATAAGTCCAAAATTTCGGACTTATGAGGCTTTGGACCTGTGAGGCGTTGGACTCATAAGCCGACCCTTACCAGCAGAGCTCATTCGGCCTTATAGGTGGGCGGGGATATGCAGGAATTTTTGGCTTATCTAGCTCCGACACCAATTTTCTTGAAACACAATGCTTCTTGAGTCTTGAGTGCTGTATGTGGTAAAGAACAACAGATGAAAACTCACGTACTAACGGAAGATATTTCTATCGGCTCAGTTGCCCATTTTGTAATCCTGCCCTCTTCTATCTTAGCAGACTTATTTCTCAGCATCGCTTCTCTGGGGGTGCCTGTAAAAGTTATTTCTCCATTTAATCCCAACATTATTTGCTCATATATTTTCATAAGTTTACGCACAGGGCATGAGCGAATGAGGTCTGACTACATTGTAGCTCCCCCTAAAAACATGAAATAAAGTATTTTTGAGGACTCCGGTTCAAATGTACCTCTAGCCTGGTTAGTTTTTTTTCCCGATGATGTATTCTGAAGCATTTTTAAAAGGAATAGATGTGAATTCAGGGGTTGAATTCCTGAGCCCCTCAGCGATAGCTTTTTGACTCTGGGAGGTTAATAGCCTGCCTGTGAAGAATTACAAACATCACTAGAAAATCGCTGGCTGCAATCGGCATTTACCGACTTCGTACTATTGACCCAAATTGGTTGACCATTGGGATAACATGTCCACCCACATGCCTCTTGTTATCAAGTCAAGGATCTTGGTTATTAGGTTATTCTCAATTTCAGGAATTTCCTTGCGGGTGATTTGTAAATTGCTTGGACTTTTCATCTGTCTGTTGCACTCAATGTTAAAAGGTTTTAAAAGTTGGGCCAAGACATGTAGGCACGTTTGAGTCTATTCCTTCCTCCATGGTTTGAGTAACTGGGATTTTTTAAAGGCATACATAGAATCATTTGCATTTCATGCATTTTGTTATTTCCAATAATAACCACTAGGCCTACTCAAAATCCGAAGAAGCATGTTCAAAACCTAACCTGTTGAAGTTTCAGCTCAGTGGATATTACACTTTTCCAGAAAACAGTGAAAAACTATGCACAAGCTTTTGATCACGAAACATGATTTCGTCCATAAAACTCTGTATTTCCAAAAAAAAATCAGTCAAATGATGATCGCTGGAAATCACCAATGTTTCTTGATTTCTTCTAAATGACAGCAAGCCAGACAGAAAATTTCACGGGGTGTTTAATGCCAGTAAGATCTTTAATCCAAGTAAGCTTTTTGATAATAATTCGGTAGGTTACTTTTGGGATAAATGCAAATGATCCTATATGCCTTTAAGGCACTAAGCCTTTATATGGAAACCCTTTAATGGCAGAAGATTCAGCATTAATGAGCTCAATTGGACTTGTCTGGGTTTTTTTAACGTTAATGGATGGAGGAATCGGTCCGGATGAGGAAACAGCCTTTGCTGAAAGATAAAGCAACTTCAGGTTTTCAAAAGTTAAGTCCTTAAAAACTGGTTTCACATACCTGTACCATGCCCAGGAAGCTTTTCACTCAAACTTTTGAGTTTGAAAGAAAGTGATTTAATTACTAAAAACCAACCTCTAGGACTAATAGTTTTAATTCTTTTTGGCTGTCATGGACAAAAAGCTTCAACTACATACATGTACAACGTGTGATCTACACACTCTCACGTGCGTGTCTGTGAATTCCTGATTTGCAGACTTATTTTCACTCAAATGTGCACCTGCCACATCGAACTTTTCTCTCTTCTGATTGGTGCAATATCGTGCTCAGTGGTATGCATGGAATGTGTTGCTCTTGACCTCTGACCTAACATTGAGCAACAGGTGCTTTATCATTCTTATACATATACACATCGCTCTTGACCAATCAGATCCAATTTAAATGTCACCGTTACCAAATTGCCTCACTCCACCCAGCTAGGAGTTAAAAAAAAAAAAAGTACCAGCTTTAGCTGGGGAGTATAAAACCCAGAGCATCCCTCCCCACTTTTTTTTAATTTTGTTCTTCGCTCGTTAACCTTTGGATACCACTTCAGAGACATTATGTGCTGTGTCCCTCCACTTTCAGAAACGGTCTGCACTTCTTTCTGCTACCATTCATTTAACCAGTGTGATGGACTTTCAAATCATCAAAGCAGAACAGAAATAGTTTCTGCCATTTCGTTCTGGACATGGGCATCACCTCACCTGTTTTGAGCTA